TTGCCATAAAACAGTCCATAAAGAAATCGAGACGTAGAATTATAAAAAAAAAAAACTGCAGAAATCAAATTAAAAAGAGATAAATTGCACGGAAGTAGCTTGAATGCAAGTTAAAACACTAACAACCGTATTGCAAACGAGAATTTGTGGCCTACACAAATTGCGTTGATTTATAAAATAATTCTATCCTAAGAGAAATCATTTTTTGATAATCTACAATAATTCCGATGTGATTTTCTTGTCAGACCTCGGAAATGTGTCACCTCCAATAGTGTCTCTTGATTTTCAGCCATATAGAAAATAGCTTCGCTCTAAACTCGTACCAAGAGAAATGTTATATTTTCTCGCAGACCGTATTATTCTTTATATATCTTTCTGTTATTTCCATATCACCACGATATGAGGGTCTCCTTCAACTTTATCCTCCAGTTCCTGATATGTTAAACCTGAAATCAAGAGAAAAGAATCAATTAATAGGGAGCTTAAGGACTTTCGCGCGAGATTTTTGTAGTCGATAGATCTTTTCTAAATTTTTACTGCAGTCAGATAATGCGTTACTTGTGTCAGAAACGCAAAAGAAATTGCGGGTCACCGACTTCGTTTCGCAGAGAAAGCGTGTGGAAAACTACCCTGATTTTGAAAAATTGGCGCACGTAACTCAGCATGGTCTACATGGGTTTGTAAAAAGTTAAAAATATCGAAGGTGAGTCAGCGGAGGCAAACGATTTTAGTCATATTATGTAGAAGTGGGTCTGTTGCGTAAATAATTCCAAATGTTACCAACGTTTTCACAAAACTTAACCTTCCAAGAGGCATTTGAAACCGCCGCACAAATAAACGAAGAGCTAAAAAGAAGGAAGTTCGATGGTGCATTTTGGAAAAAATTGAAACTTCTAATCGATATATTTTCTGCATTTTTTTTGCCACACGTAGAAAATTAGTAGAGAAAATGATACATGAAAATAAAAATAGGGGTCACAGGACGTCCAAGATCGTTAAATCCAGGTAAAGCTATAGCGGTGTCCTCTGCCCTATAGCGCTCGCTCGATGCATGACGTGGTACGTGAATTTGCGTGCGCAGTAAGAATGCGCAGAAACAATGCAGAACTTAAGCAAACCACGACGGCAACGTCAACGAGAACGTCACCAAACAAAAGGTTTAATGAGCAAAACAATAGCTGTGCACGTGAGTTATAATTCTTCGTATATCTCCAAACCGTCCCCTGCACAACAACAGGGAGTTTAAGAAAACTACGACGGCAACGGCAACGGGAACGTCGATGAACAAAAGGTTTAATGAGCAAAACAATGGCTGTGGACGTGCGTTATAATTCTTGGTACATTTCTTTGCCGTCCTCTGCAAAACAACGTAAAATGACCAAGTTCTGCGTCGTTTGGAGAACGTGAACGACCACGGCTAATTTTTTAAATTTATATTCCGAATTTAACACTGTGTTCCATATTCAGTTTCGAGTTAATTTTGACAGTGAGAAACAAACTAAATGACTCTAGGATATCGCGAGATTCCTAGGTAAAATATAAGTTCATTATTTAACCGACGTTGTCCTCGGCGTCGCCGTCGTGGTTTCTTAAACTCCCTAACAACTTGAAATGACTACGTTCTGCGTATTTTGGAGAACACGAACGACGGCGGCCAATTTTTCGTATTTTCATCTGGAATTGAACGCTGGCGTTACATGTTTAGCTTGAGCAAGTTCTGAGAGCAACAGACGCACTGAAAAGATCTAGTCAACTGCGAAATTCTAAGGTAAAATATAAATTCATTTTTTACCAGGCGTTGTCCTCGGGGTCACCGTCGTCATTGGTTAAGCTCTCTAATTAGGCACCTTAAGCAACAGACGTCGCCGACCTGACGACGGCAACCGGAAACGTGACATTTCTCTCGAGACGTCACTGCGCATGTACAACACGTTGTGACCTGACGTTGCCCCGAGATCGAGAACGTGAGAACGTGGGGTTTCACGTCGCGACGAAAACGTGAGTACTTGATCTTTTGTTTTG